CGACTCACCAGAGTTCCCGGGTTTTCAGAGTTGAGGGCCGAGAAGTAGAGCGCGGTCGTATTTCCCAGGTTGATCTCGAAGTGCATCATTCCCTGGGGGAAGATGGTCACATCCCCGGGGTAAATGAGATCGATGTGGGGGGTGCTCTTGGTGTCCACGAAGCCGACTTGGAGGGCCCCCCCCGAAACGAGAGTCAGGATCTCGCTTGCGCGGGGGTGGATGTGCGGTTCGTTCACCCCGCAAGGCGCCATCTCGAAGCGTACATACGTAATGCCCTGAGAACTGCAGATTCAAGCGTCGTGTCTAAGCTTAGCCCTCGACGATTTCCAGTTTCGAATCTTCGGAAATCTCTGGCAGGCTCCCAACCCGCCTGCTTTCCGTTCTGGCTGCGAAAGGTATTGACCGTCTGCGCCTCACCTCTGAACGAGTTTGATTCCAGCTCATGGGACTCTGACGGCCTCGCTACTAAATCACTGTTGGGTTTTCTGCCGCCTGATGACTGTCACCTGTCTACTAAGAGATTCCCTATACCAAGGTCGAGGTGCGCTGAGCACGGGTATCATATCTGCTCCAGATTTACAGCCCAATAAAGTGCAAGCACTGAACATGCTTCCTTCTCTGAACACTGTCAAGTCACGTCAGTCCAATATTGGCAGGCGTCATCTGAGCAAGTTTGATCCACTGAAAAGCTGGTTTCACCATTTCCTTGCGTCCTTATTGGGATCCAACAAGTTTGACAGACTGCTTCCAATGACCCTTTGCAAATTTTCCAACTTGGAAGTGCGCCTACGGGGCACTATGAGAACATTCTACTATTAGTGGGTCAGGCATGAATGGCATACGTATCCGCCCACCGCAGCAGGCTTTGAAACCGAGAACGAGCCCGAGCTCAGATTCCATTCATTCAACGTCCAGGACTCAGTCAATCACACTCAACTGTTCTTTAGCATGCTCACGTCAGCGCTAGGAAGATTGCACTGGTGAGCACTGAGGCCGGCCCTCTTTCCCCCCGCCGAGACGGAGACGACGCCATTGGTTCCCAGGCTGCGGAAGACAAAGCTGGTCTGGTTGGAGGGGGTGAAATCTGCAAGGGGGTCAGGATCTGCGCGCGCCGAAAAGACCGACAAAACCAGGAAGAGAGCAACTTGGAGAAGCATAGACTTAGGGAGGGAGGGCGCCATTCTGCAGCGTAACTTTTAGGAAGGCGGATGCTTTTGTCACTTTTGCTTTTGTCACTTTTCGCAATTAGGAAGTGTGCATCTCTGATTTATATGCGGCCATAGCGCGCTGACGTCGGATTTCATGTTGCTGCTGGAAACAGCCCACAGGAAGGCACGGTGTGCGAACGTCCGACGGGGACTGAAGTTGATGTGCTGCACAGTGGGTCGACGTACGGTCAAGTCAACAAATCAGTACTCCTGACGTAGGCAATTTCCCACTGATACACTGAGCTGGGTCAAGTCAACGATGTACCGTAAGAACTCCCCGCAAGGCTTGCTTTCTTTGTGCGGCAGCTGCGTGACCCTAGCTATAGCACCTGCAGTTTTCAGTTTGCACCACTTTATATACAGTAGCACTTTAGTGGAAGCCCTTGGAAGCTCGCCGGATCGGAAGCCCGTCATCATTCAGATCATTCCACGGGCATTCCACGAGCAATGATGATTAATAGTAATTGCAGACAGCTATTGTGTCACATGCAATCAAGGCAATCCTGTCAACATCAGGACTCAGCATGTGCTCTCAGCTGCAACTGCAGTCACGACTCACGCAGTGTTCGACACGAGCCGTCACACCAGGCAAACGTCAGCCGACGGAATTGCCTCTCGGCCGACTCAACCGAGGGGCGTCGGCCGAAAAGCCGACAGAAACGGGATCTTTTTGGGGTGTTTCAGGTTCGACACACGCTTATCAGTATATTTGCACATGCGTAGGCGTCCGGTCTACCACACCGGAATCTTCCGCGCTCACTCCGTCTGGACGTCCGAGCCGGAACAAAGACGGGAACACAGGTGTCCGGACCGACTGACGGTACTGATTGATCAAAGTTCATCGGACGGCCACGAACTGTTCAATTCAACTCCGAGCTTAGGGTCCAAAAACGTCTGGCTAATTGCACTCAGTTCTGATCGGATTGCATCTGGATAAAATTCGTCCAATGGAATCGCTTCCGTCTGCAATATTGTAACGGTGAAGACGTTTAGAATCACTTCGAAGCTTCTTCCTACTCTGTTGGTGACCTTAAAATCACCTACAAGGAATCGTAGTAGGAAAAAGCGTTACCCCAAGTCCAGATTTACTAGCACTTGGTAAACATCTTGATAGTAGACAGCTATATTATGCCATAGAAAGAGAACAACTTCTTTCTCTTTCTCAAGCTGTTTGACAGCAGCCAACGTCTCTGTTTATGGCGCTCAGCACCAAGTGGAGCACACTACAACGGACCGAGAGCTGGCTGCACCTACATCGCGTAAATCAAGTTCGAGTCTGTGGAAGTTCTGCATCATCGAACACTGCGGGTACTAACCGTTTCTGACTACATCTTCGTCACTTTCCTTTCAGGTATAATCCTCATCAACGCAAAGGCTGTCAGAGAACACCAAAGGCTTGCTTGATATAGTGGCTGCTTAGATCAGAATGTAATGATGGATTCCTTTGTTTGTTGCATCTAGCTTTGATGGTATACATGTATGCCTCTAGCTGTTTTGTTTTGCTTGCTGTTTGAAATTCGTCAAACAGGTCGCAGCCAGCTCTCGACCGTTATCACTAGAAGTACTCAGCAGCCCTATTTCAGCTGTAGTAATTAGGAACACGTTTCCATTATGATTAGAAAAAGGGACACCTCTAGTCGATTGAACACAGAGAGATTTAGCCTCCTATTTGACAGTTCTAGAACCAAAGTAGCCATTGCGAGCTCAACTTTTGGAGCTTTGTTTGCTTTTCAACTCACTCATGCACTGAAGGTTATGAGCAAAGATATCTGAGAATGATATTCATGAGCCATACTCGATCTCAATGATAGTGCAATTCGGAATTCGAATCTCATGTCACATGCCCAAAAAAGCAGATGCTTAAGAGGTATGGCAGGTTATCTCGACCTTGTCATTCGGGATAAGGTGCTTCAAGCATGATTTGGTCTTGACATGCTTGACGTTCCTCAGGCTCTGCCAATCACAGTTTTCATTATAGTAGTGGAATACATTCTAACTACTGTTTTCATGCCTCTTATAAGTGCAGGGTCAGATCGGATCAAGGGCCCCTCTAGCCCTCCTTCTGGCTTCCTTCACAAGCATCAAAGAAGAATTAAGGCTACAGCAATTCTTCAGAAGAGCAGGCCTCCATCTTAGGAGGCCCAAGACCATCCCTTCAACGTGACAACAACGTGACACCAGTCCTCCCAAGACTAAGGTCAGATTACCGTTACCGAATTTGGAAAAAACACTTTGCTCACTGCTTCCGTAATGAATGGAAGGCTTCCGATCTGTACAGAGGAATAAAGGCCTCTATTATGTCCCAGATCAAGAGCAGGTAGTCTAAGACCAAACATGGCTGTTGGTATCATTCGAGAATCAGTGGTTCAATCTGATTGACCTCCGGAAATTACTGAGGGATGTTGAATACCTCAACCCCTATAAGAATCTTCAGCTGAGATGGCTATATCCAGAGCCACCTCAGAGACTGAGCCAATCACGTTACAAAAGTGTGTTGGACAAAGTGGATAATGATCTTTGGATCAGCCAAATCATTCCTAACTTCGATCAGATCTCTCAGCTTTGTCACTGCAAGAGAGAACATGTTACGGAGTCCAGATTTGAAGGACATCTTGCCTCTGGAAATCTGGAAACAATCATACATAACAAAGAGATTTTAGACAGGCTTCAAAGAGGTCCTCTATTCAGAGAAACCCAAAATGGAGACTTGACCTCTGCCACCCTCGCTTTAGAGTTAGCACTTCAAGACCTACAAGTGCGCAAGCCGTTGGCACATAGTCTTGCCTGGAGCACAAAGCTCCTCGCCAACTTTGCAAAGCGGGCAGCCCTATTAACACAGAAGGATAAAGAGGGCAAAATCAACCTGAAGGAACTTCTCTTCCCTGCTCCTGGTCACATCGAAGATCAGAAGGACGAACTCGATGCCTTCCTGAGTAAATACGTCATCCTCCCTGCAGATAAGTGTAGGGGGAACTACTTTGTCGTATGCAAGAACCTTTACATAAAACAGTGTGTCACATCTTTACACACTGCACCCCAATATCAACGGCTCCAGATCACTGAAGACGAGCTGGTTGCTTCTCTCCTGCAGCAAGTCACCGGCCTCGTACATCACTCTCACCTCGAAGCTCTGTACGAGGAGGAGGTTCCAAGCCTTTCCTATTTTTACGTACTTCCCAAGCCACACAAGGTCCCTCTCAAGTGGCGACCCGTTGCAGCCTCGCACAGGTCAGTCACTGCTGTCTTGCAGAGGACTTTAGCCTCAGCACTCGGGCTGGTCATGAAGTCACAGAAAGAATTTCATCAGAAAGAGTTCCAAGATACTGGTCTTCGAAAGTTCTGGATCGTTGAAAACAGTACGGACGTGGTGCTTTCCCTTCCGGCTGTTCTCACTCACATGGTCTCATCTGATATTGATTCTATGTATCAAAACATGGATCAGACCTGCACATTCAATGCTACTTCAGAAGAAGTCAAAAGGGCTGCAAATATAGCAGGCGCCGATTGCTTTTTCATCGTTGTAGCAACCACCCAGTCCGGCAACCGAGTAGACCAGGTTTTCTGGCACGACTCCGTTTCCGGGTTGAATCCTCTGGATAATCCATCTCCTGTCTCAAAGAGGGCTGTGGAAAAGGAGTCTTATATCCTGTTCAAAAGATACTGGACATCTTTGAATTCGTGATTCAAAACACCCACGTCACCTTGGGCAATTCCGTTCACCATCAAATTAACGGTCTACCTCAAGGCGGACACGCTAGCGGCCACATGGCAAATCTGACTTGTCATTTCTATGAACGAACCTGGGTCGAGAAGTTCTCCTTTCATTCTCTACAATACGCCATTTCTCGATTTATGGACGATTTTGGCAGCGCCAACGCGGCTTACTTTCAAGAAATGTACACCCAGATTTACTGTAACGGCACGACTGCGCACCGACTTCTGGCTGCGCGCCAAACTCGCGGCCGCGCATCGTCCGTTATTATACGCTATCGACTTATTTGATATATCGAATCACTACACAACACGTGTCTGGGTTACTGTTCCACCGC